ATTTCTCCTGCTGAAACTCCTGAATTTCACACGGAGGAAAGTATGTTTTCCAATATGAAGGGGAGGGGGAATGAACATTTATACATCTCTCTTTTCACAGAACAGAATGAAAATGAACCAACTTCAGGCTTTGCTGAGTGACAGCCTTGCCAGCACAAAAAGCATGTGGAAAATGCAGTTATCATTGGTATAAAGCCAAGTCTCTGCATCGACCTTTGGCTTTATTGTGAGAGATCAAGAGCTTCCTGGGAAGTGACAGCAGAGGTGGAAACTCTGTGAAATCAGAGCACAAAGCAGAAATAATGGCAGGGAGCACAGCACTCTACTAAATCCGTTTGTTCTCTCAGCCTCAGAGCCCCGTGCCGGGGTACAGCTCAGCTGACTTGCAAGGTGATTGCTAATTTCACATCTTTGATTTTTTGGAGCAAAGATGCCATTTAAGTGGCATTCTGAAGGAGTCCTTTTTAACCACTTTGTGCTCAGTGATCCTGACTGTAAAGCAGATGGGTGTAGGTCCATTCTCTGGCCCTGACACCTGTACTGGCAAGGAATATGCTGTGCCCATGCAATAACCCCAAAGCTGTGGCAGAACTGGGATGCTGGTTGGGAACACAGATCTAGATTCAATACCAGGGGTTGTTATAGAAATATTTTCTGCCTAATTCTGGAGAAAAAAATGCAGTGAAAGCACCTGTAGCTGCCAAGTTACTATCACTGATACAGCACATGAAACAAGCCCATTCTTCTGTCCACTGACAGCTCTGTCTGTGCCCAGAATCATAGAACCATGGAATCATGGCTGGAAAAGACCTAAAGATCATGGAGTCCAGCCATTAACCCAGCACTAAACCATGTCTGTCAGTGTCACATTTACAGATCTTTCAAGTACCTCCAGGGATGGTGACTCTGTGCAATCTGTTCCAGTGTTTAACAGCCCTTTTGGTGAAGAAACTGTTTCTAAAATCCAATCTGAACCTCCACTTATGCAATGTGAGGTCATCTCATCTTGTTCTATCGCTTGTAACTTGAGAGAAGAGCTCAACCCCTGCCAGGCTTCACCCTCCTGTCAGGAGCTGTACAGAGAGAGAAGGGTCTCCCCCTGAGCCTCCTGGGCTGAGCCCCTTTCCCAGCTCCCTCAGCTGCTCCTCCTCAGACCTGTGCTCCAGAGCCTTCCCCAGCTCCGTTCCCTTCCCTGGACACGCTCCAGCCCCTCAATGTCCTTCCTGAACTGAGGGCCCAGAAGTGGGCCCAGTCCTCAAGGTGGCCTCAGCAGTGCCCAGCAGAGGGGACAGTCACTGCCCTGGCCCTGCTGCCACACCAGGGCTGGTACAGCCCAGGTGCCTTTGGCCACCTGGGCCATGTTCAGCTGCTGTCCCCAGCACCCCCAGGCCCTGGACACCTTTCCAGCCACTCTGCCCCAACCTGTGGTAGTGCAGGGGCTGTTGTGACCCGAGTGCAGGACCCAGCACTTGGTTTTGTTGAACGTCAAACAATTGACCTCAGCCCATGGATCCAGCCTGTCCAGACCCCTCTGCAGAGCCTTCCCACTCTCCAGCAGATGAACACTCAGATTGGTGCTGTCTGGGAACCTACTGAGGATGGACTTGGTCCCCTCCTCCAAACCATCAATAAAAACATTCAAAAGAGCTGCCCCCAGTGCAGAGCCTGGGGGAATGGGATTTATTAAATCTAACAGCAAGGCTTTCCCCTATAATCTAACTTCAGACTGGCTCTATCTTATTTTTTTTCAGCAGGACTACACACAAAGCTGGAGCAGATCCAAAAGGCACCGCTGTCTGCCTGGCCGGCTCAGTAATAAATTCAGGAGCCATATCATATTTGATGTGAGCTTTCTTTTTTTTTTTTTTTTTTTCTGCTATGGGAGGAAGACAGAAAGTGTAAAGCTGAAAGATTGCAAAAAATGCCAGCACTTTCAAAATCCTGTAACAATATCCACTCATTATTTGTTCTTGCTAATAGTCACAGTCACATTGTTCAAAACTGGCCACTGTTCCTAGCAAAGACTAATGCTAAGTATTTCCAGGGCCAGATTTGCAGTAGTTATTTTTTGGAGTTTACTCTTGCTGTCCTGGATGATTTCTTTGCGGGGAAAAAAAAAAAGTAACTTTTCTTGGCATGCTACAAGATATTTCTGAAAGTTATTCAAAGTTCTGCTTAGTGTTTATTCTTTAGAGCAGATAATACCTCACAAATACAGGTATTTTAAATTTTTAGATAGAAATAACACTGTCATCATTTGAATGCAGTACAGTGCAAGGGGGATTTGTACTTGAAAGAAAACATCTCTATTACAGCAATTCTGTACATGACTTTTATAATAATTGATTAAATTTTTTATTTATTTATGTCCCTGTGTTATTATAGCAGACTACTTTAGAGAGAAAGGTAGCTGAATCAGCAGAAAACTTGGACTTCATCAACCTCAAGAGTGCTCATTAAGAAATAAAGTACAGAAGTTCAAAACTTTAAACAAGAAACTGCTGCTGTACAGCATTACAGCTGCTGAACTCCCTTCTGTTTTTTCAAGAACAATTGTGGGCATGCTTCTCATAAAAGGACTACCCTATGCATTTGCCCTCTATGTTTCTTAACGGAATTGAAAGTGATGTCTTCGCTATTTGGTTCAAGATGTTGTACTTTATCTTTCTAATGCTGTATTTTAGCCTGCTTCCAGATAACATAGTTACTAATCTCACTACACATAGTAAGTTTTCTAATGGCATTATAGCTACACAGGGGCCAGAGACCCAGGGGACAAAGGAAATTGCTAAACTAACACTTTTTCAGATTGTCCTGTACATCCTTGAATAATAAAATGATAAAACATATTTTTATCATGTGAATTTGCATTGTCAATGACTGCAATAGAAAGTTATTTTAAACTGCAGTGGATTGCAAAGTTCTCTGAGGACAGTGGAGGAGGGAAAATGCCAGTACTGGCACTGAATCAGGCTGTGTGCACTATAGACCAGGCTCCATGATCTTTCCATCTTCAGACACACATCAATTATTAGGTCTTCAAGTCACGTGAGAACAAATGAATTTTATCTATACTTGATTTGAGATTTGTTCCATTTCAAAGAGGAGTTTAAAAGCCTGAATCCAAAAATCTCATTATTACAGGAAAAAAAAAAATCCACAGAAAAATCCCACACATATGAGATACCATTTTTAGTCTGAAGCGTCAGTTTTATTCCTGACAGATCAAACACTCAAGAGCTGGTGAATAGAACACTGAGAAAGGCGTGATCTGATCCTTCTGCCAAGCTCAAGGAGATACCATCAGACTTTTAGAGCAGTACTGATTCTGATTCCAAACCCTCAGGTAGAAACACATGGGGTGTAAGGGTGTGAACCAGCGAGCTCTGAACACCTCTGCTCCCCAAGAACAGCAGAGCCCAGGGCAGCCTCCCCAGCGCCTTCATGGCATCGGGGCTGGCACAGCTCCCACACCCTCAGTGCCAGAGCAGCAAATCGAGTCTGAGACAAAGAATTCTGAAGTGGCAGCCCTTGCACAGGTGGAGCACACCCCATCACACTCACTGGCACAGCCACGGGCAGCAGGCCGAGCTACCCGGGGCGCTGGGGCAGCGGCCCGTCTCTGCCGCAAGGCCAAGCGGGAAAGCAGATTTCTGTGCCAAGCCATGGAACAATCCAGGTCGTTCGCAGCAACAATGGGGAGCTGTGCTCGTATTTCTGACTCCTCGTATCTGTCGCTCCAAAGTAGAACAGCCTCGCCCTGTTCCTCGCCTTGGCCTGCAGGGGAGTAGCTGAGTGCCAGCAGGAACTGGGATCGGACTCTGCTCCCGAGGACAGGCTGGGTTTGTTCCGGGGCACAGACTGTCCGTCCTTCCTTACAGGAAACAGGTGAGCTCGGGAGTGGGCTCCGGAGCCACAGAGCTTCTTAAAATTGTCGGTTTCAGCCACTGCTGGCAGATCTGAGAGCTTGAAATGGTTGGAAACTTGAATCTTGGTTTCTGCAGTTTTCTATGCATTTGAGAGTAATGTAAATATTCACATCCTCTTGGTTTGTTTTGTTTTGTTTTTGGGGGGGTTTAAAACATTTTTGTGGGCCTGCTTCTAGCAAAAAAGACAATAATTTATAAAAAAGCAGGTCAATGAACTCTGATGAAAGAGGGACAAAAGCTTCCTTCACATCTTATTTTAACTGACTAAATTTGAGCCCAATTAAGGCAGCAGAAACAATTGTTATGGGGTGGCATCTGGTGAGCTTTCCACTGAATTTTTTTGCTGATACAGGCAAATTTTGTGGGACTGGATTAAATGGTTAATAACAATGACTAGACAGCCAGCCTCAGAAATAAAAGCCTTTAAATAGCATTTTATGCAAATAATTGGAAGTGCTTATTCACCATAAAATAGCCATAGAGCACCACCCTGTGGGGACTGACATCCCTGGGGTTTCAGGCTGTTCGTCATTCAGCATTTGCAGTGTTACCACAATTAGGTATGCACTGAGCTTTTCCTGTGCAGAAATCAGTGATTTTTACAGAGGGCAGGGTGGTCTGTCACACAGTGCTGCTCACTTGAAGAAGCTCTGGCCTGCAGCCCATCCTGTGCTGCACTCAGTGCAGTACCAGCTCTCAGGAGCTAACAGCTGTTCCCCTTGTGATTGTCTCTGCTTCTCATCTCCTTCCACCCAGGGCCCAGGGAGTAGAGAGAGGACTGTTCCTCACTTGGTTTTACCAAGCAGGAGAAGGCTTGACAGCTCAGCCCATCTGCTGGTGCCAAAAGGATCCCAGGAGCAGCATCTGAGGAGGTACCTGAGACTCCTGCAGCAGTGAGAGCCTGTACCACAGCAAATCAGGCACACAGCAATCACCTCCTGAGGCGAGGGAAATAAATAGGAATTTTAAAGCTATTTGTTACCTTTCTTACCTGAGATTTTTCCACTGCACATGCCTGCATTCGTGCAATTTTTTTTTCAGTTTGGTTTTGTTTGGTTTTTTTTAGAGAAAATGTTTGCAGCCTACTTTGATTGCCCAGGAGGCCCAGAAAATCTCTATATGAAAGAAGTGATGAAACCAAATCCAGGAGAAGGAGAAGTTCTTGTGAAGGTCTCTGCCAGTGCTCTGAATAGGGCTGATTTACTCCAGGTATGTGTAGGTTAAGCAGATTTATGCATCTAAAAACAAAACCGATTTTTCAAGCCCCTCTGTGAAGTCCTGACAGATCTGATGAGCTAAAAGAGTTTGAACCTGGTGAGCATTTGGATGGGACAATTCATAGGGCTGAAAGAAGAGATGTTTGTTGATTCAGCAGATAAATGTTTTTATCTGAGATAATGCAGTGCTGGGCTGGCGTGGAAAGCTGCCTTTCAACAAAAACATGTAAAACCAAAGCTCTGGTCTTTCTAGATCTCTGACCCTTTTCTGGGCATTTGAGATGAAAAGGAAATGTTCCAATAGCACAAATCTGTTGGAGAAAATCTATTCAAACTCACATTCAAATCATTAGTTTAAGCTGCAAGCCATGCTCTGCAAATGGAGATCATAGTATCTCTTCAGCAGGGATTAGCCTGGACAGAGGAAACTCACAAATATTTCAATTTATTCTTATTTTAAGAATAAGACTTAGGAAGAATAACACTTAGGAAACAAAAATGTTTCCAGAGGCTAGAAGATCCTCAAATTACTGCAACATATGCACAGGGCAAAATCAGGATTAAACAAATAGGAATTTAGACTGGAGACATGTGAATGAAATATTGCAGGTAATTACACTCATTGATGGTTTTTCCTTCCTTGCCTTCTCTTTTTATTTATTTTTATTTTAGAGGAGAGGGAAGTACCCTCCCCCCAAAGGAGCAAGTGACATTTTGGGCCTGGAAGCAGCTGGGAGCGTGGCCGGGCTGGGTCCCGGCTGCTCGGGCCGCTGGAGGATCGGCGATGCAGTGATGGCTCTGCTGCCCGGGGGCGGCCAGGCACAATTCGTGACAGTGCCCGAAGGCCTCCTGATGCCAATCCCCAAAGACATGACTTTTATCCAGGCTGCAGCCATTCCTGAGGCCTGGCTAACAGCATTTCAGCTGCTCCATTTTGTAGGTGAGAGGTGCATTTGCCCATTTATCCCACCAAAACAGCTCATCTTCTTTTCTGTCACAAAATCCTCTCCTTGTTGCCTCCATTTGAATGTTGTTCTTCAAAGAACCTTTTCTCTGTCACTTTATTCTTGTGGGTCAGAATCCAGTGTGCCAGACACAAATCCTTGAATCTTGACCACCTCTCCCCAGTGCCAACCTACCATGCTGGTTACACATTTACAAGGAAGGATATGGAAAGATGGCAAATTTATTTTCATCTATATTTCTCAGTTTGAATCACTGAATGGTTTGGGTTGAAAAGGAACTAGGTGATCTAGTTCTACTCCCTTGCCATGCACAGGGACACCTTCCATTAAGCCTAAATTCCATTAAGCCTAAACCCTGAAATTATTCCCACCTTTTCAAGACACCTAAAAACACATCTTACTTCGAAGGATTTGGCTTCACTGCATGCATGACCATACCAAGAACTTTATCACTATGTTCTTGTGAATCGACAGTAGGCAACATCTTGTATCTTTGTTTACCAGAGATATTATTTGTATGTAAAATCCACTCTGAGCTGATTTAAAATAGACAGAAGCCTACACTCTTCATTTTAAAAATACACTGCCAAAGTAATAAACAGTAGCACTTGCCAAGGTTTTCCTCCAGTGAGAAATATCCTTCTTCTACACTCTTCGGCAGTAGCATCTGAAAGATCCAATAAGGAACAAAAAGTTCCAAACATAACTTCCCTGCAGACTTGCTTCAAGCAGTGTTGTCTCCTGGGGATCAGTGGGAGGCTACTTGGTGCCTCACTTACAGAAGCAACTGGTGAAACACAAATTAATGCAACCAAAAGATGGTAAAGTGATTGGTAGGACTGGTCTTTAATGTCACCCAGCATTTCTGGTATTTCTCCATTGCTGAGTGCCTGATTTCTCAGTATGAACATCCTCCAAGTGTGTTTTCTACTGATGGTATAAAAAGGCTGCCCTCACTTAAGCATCTTGGTCACAGATGCACACAGCCAAGTCAAAGTCCTTCCCCTGAGGCTGGGAAAATGACATCCTGTCAGCACACTGCAACCTCTGCTGCTTCTGGATTTCTCTCTTTTATGAAGGCTACAAAGATGTCCAATTGTCCAAAGTCCAGTCAAGGACAACTCTTTCAACCTCCTCTTTGCTATCTTCCAGATTGTTCATATTTTATTTCAAAGGTGATGCCCAAAGGGTGACCACTTTCCTTCTGCCCACTTTTCTCCAGGTAAAGTACAGGAGGGTGAGAGAGTGTTGATCCACGCTGGAGCCAGCGGGGTTGGCATGGCAGCCATTCAGCTGGTGAGACTGGCCAAGGCCATTCCCATTGTGACAGCAGGAACTCAGGAGAAACTGGAAGCAACAGCAAACGCCGGAGCGGCTGCAGGGTTCAACTACAAGAATGAAGACTTCAGTGAAAAGGTCTTGAAGTTCACCCAAGGTAAAAACCTCTCTGTAAAAGTGCAAATGAACCTCCCAACATGTGGACACAGACTCAGTTTCAGCTGTCACTTGGTGAGGGAACAGACAGTAGTGACGCTGGAAGCACAACCTGATATCCTGCTCAGCCCAGAATGGGCATTTCCTTAGTTTAACTGTGCTGTTTTCTGCATGGGCTCTCTTTGGCTGTGTTCATTTGGGGCATAAATACGGTGCCACGTTATTGCTGCCTCCCAAAGGAACTGTGGGACCCTATCCTCACATTTTGGTGTTTGAGTCATCACAGAAGCACAGCATGGCCTGGGTTGGAAAGGGCTTTAAAGATCATCCCGTTCCAGCCCCCTGCCATGGGCAGGGACACCCCAGCTTGCTCTGAGCCCCATCCAACCTGCCTTGAACATTTCCAGGGATGGGGCGCCTACAGCTTCTCTGGGCAACCTGTGCCGGTGCCACTTCATTCTTAAACTGTTAGAAAAATGTAGCTTTTCTAAGCATTTGGGGTGGTTTATGCCTGAGTTTGCTTATGGGTAACTGATGATTCTTTTTTTGTGCCTGATTCCATAATTCCTTACAAATCACTGTGCCAATTCTTAATTTCAGTAGAAAGATTTAAATAAGATTTGTAGGGCCAATTCTGTACCTATGAATAACAAGGTTTTAGTCATGCTTGAAATTATCCTACCTTTAATGCAGCTTGGACTTCATTGCTGAAATCTCTTCTGTTTCTACCTGAGGTTCTGGAGTAGATATTATTTTAGATTGTGTTGGGGCCTCATACTGGGAGAAGAATCTCAACTGTCTGAGCACTGATGGCCGGTGGATCATTTATGGACTGCTGAGTGGAGGTGAAGTCCATGGGGATCTGCTGGCAAGGCTGATTTCCAAAAGAGCCAGCATCCACACCAGCCTGTTACGGTCCCGAGACAAGGAGGCAAGTAGTGGCTATCAGCAGTGTATGCAGTTTGATCTTAAAATTTTATGATAGTTTTGAGAGCTTTCTTTTAAAATGTGTCAAACACATTCTTGTCAAAAGAGCCCCACCTTGAACTGTTACTACATACTTTGGAAAATGTCACAGAATTAAGTTGTAATGTTTTTTTTTCTATTTTTATCAAATTCCTCCCTGAATGAGAGGAATGACACCCAGGACTTCTTAATGTGCTTCATGGATACCATAATTTAGATATTTGGCCCTAGAAGAAATAAAACTCCAGTGATCAGGCAACTTGATCAAGTCTGAGGAGGGGAAAATAAAAATCTCTATTAGGTCACTTCAAAGTAGAAACCAAGGCCATTTGGATGCCCAGTTACCAAAGAAAACTCATTTTATGTGCAATAGTCTCAGATGTCACAGTAAAAGACCCACAGTGCAGAGCCCTGAGGTGGATTCTGTGCATGGTTTAAGACTGAATATTTACAAGACCTTTATCAATTTGATTTAAATGGTTCTGCACGGAGCTCACACAACTTGCTTTGGGGAATTTCATTCGATTAAGATGTAATAAATCTAAAAGCTTCCTTCTTGTTTGTAATTTAGACCTGTCAGGTGTTCTTATCTCACTACGAGAATGTCAGAGGGTGTCTCCTTGAGGGCCGTGTACATTTTACACGCCGTGCTCTGAGACGCCTCGGTGAGAGAAGCGGCTGGAAATAACCTTGCAGGTGTTTGTTCCGCAGTACAAGGAGCGGCTGGTGAGAGCCTTCACAGAGGAGGTGCTGCCCCATTTTTCCGGAGAGGCTTCCCCGCGGCTGCAGCCCCTCGTGGACAGCGTTTACCCCCTGCACGCCATCGCTGAGGCACACAGGGCTATGGAGGAGAACAGGAACATCGGCAAAATCGTCATCGAAATTCCCGTTTGCGGCAAGAAGGGGCCGCCGCAGTAGCTGCTCTGGGACAGTCACTGCGGGGGCCGCACTGCGGCCATCCCGCCGCGTCTGCTCCACACCGGGACCGATTCACGTGGGTGGCGAGGAGGGAGAAAGGATAAGGAGGAAGCGTTTATTAAAGAGGTTCATGTGGCAATTTTGGCACCGTGGATCGAACCTGCGCGGCCGGGCCTGAGGGGCTGGGGGGGCGGGGCCGGGGCCGCCCTGGAGGGGCGGGGGTTGAGCACGGGGCGGGTCGGGGAACGAGCGCGCTGCCGCTTCCCGCGCGGTGCACGCCGGGACAGATCCGGTTCCGCGAGGGCAGCGCGCGGTGCCTGCTGGGATAGACCCGGCTGTGCCGCCCGTCGCTCCCGGTCCCCGCCGGTGTCCCCGCTCCGGGCTCGGTCCCCGCCGCTGTCTCCGCCCCAGCCTCCTTCCCCGCCCGTGTTTCTGTCCCAGGCCGCGGCCCCCACTCACCGCCCGCCGACATGGCGATGCAAGCAGCCAAACGAGCCAACGTGAGTGCGCTGCCCTGCCCTGTCCCGTCCCTGCCGGGCTGGGCTCCGGCTTCGCCCCGCTCCGGGCACCCCGCTGCTCTGAGGGGAACGCGGCACGGGGGTGGGACTGGGGGATATTTAAGGCTCCTTCCAGCCCCAGCCGTTCCGTGGCTCGGTGATTCCATTATTTTGCCCCTAGGCTGCTGGGTTTAAGCTTTGCAGTACGTGCCTTGGGCCTAACACACCGTTTGTCTTTTCCCCATCAGATCCGGCTCCCTCCGGAGGTTAACCGGATCCTGTACATCAGGAACCTGCCGTACAAAATCACGGCCGAGGAGATGTACGACATTTTTGGGAAGTACGGGCCCATCCGGCAGATCAGAGTGTGAGTGTTTCCAGTTCCTTTGGACCGTGAAGGGTTTCACAGCGGGTTTCAATGCCCTGGAGCACACCCCGACTGCCAGAGGGGATGCGATGATGCTCTTAACACATGCATTTGTTAGAGAATGATCCTGCTGGGAGGTGCAGAGAATGAACTTAAATTTTAAAAGAACCCTGGGAGGTTGATAAAATATGACAGTCTTGTGTGCTTAAGTAAGTTTCAAATACAACTAAAGTTTTGCCTTGACTTGGGGCCAAAATAGAAAAGGCAGAAGCTGAGCACAAACATTTTCCTGTTTTATGAGTGTCTGCTAACCAGTGGGAGAACAGGGATGTTGCTGTTGCTGGATCTGTTCACTAGAAGCAAATACAGCAGCAAGCCCTGTGTGGCAGAGGCAGGATGTCCTCGGGCCATGCCGTGTCTGGGTAGGGGAGGTGTGACTGTGCCTTTGGTTCTGAAATGTGTGGAGGTTGTACAAGTCTGCAGCAACTCCGATGTTCTTCTCCTGGTTAGTTCAAATGCTGAGGACCTGAGCCTTGATAATCATAGGAGGGTTTGTGTTGGAAGGGACCTTAAAGGCCATTTTATTCCAACCCCCTGCAGGGGGCAGGAACACCTTCCACCTCCCAGGTGCTCTGAGCCCCATCCAAGCTGGCTGGCCTTGAACATTTCTAGGGATGGAGCATCCACAGCTTCCCTGGGTGACTTGTTTGAATGATTGTTGTGTAAAGTGAGTTTTACAGAGTTGCTCTCGGTAAGCAAAGGACACTGGGATGTGACAGCAGACAGACCCTTCTTGGGCAAGGGAGGGCAGTGGATGTCACTGGAGAAGTGGCTGAGGGAACAAGGGGCAGTGTAAACACTGCCTGGCTAAATAGGTGGAACTCTGCTAATGAGCATAAAGGAGAGCCAGTACTTACTTAAGTTTTCTGCAAACATGTGGGCTGGAACAGCATGATAGTGGGACACAATTAGGGCAGATCAGGGGCTCTCCATTGGGGTGATGCTCTGGTGTGTGCACCCAGCAGTTTGTTCAGAACCACTAATTCATGGAATTTCCCACAGAAATCCGAACAAAGCTCCTCTGTAAAGGTTTTTGTGCTTTGTGCAGAGTTTATCCCATTCTGGTCCTCACCTTTGCATAGACCCCAGTGTGATATTTGTGATACCATTTGTCCTTGGGTGCTCTCAGAAGCATCTTAGGGAGGTTGTTCTGACTCTGCAGTCTCTGTCACTGTCTGTTAGCTGAGACCTTTGGGATCTCTGCAGCCCCTCTGGGCTCGTTACTGCTGTGTGCCCAGACCTGTGTCCCATCCCTCAGGAAAAGGACATGGAATTGGTGCTCCTCTGGGTGATGGCTGTGCCTCAGCAGTGGGCTTGCACCAGCAGGGCTGTTCTGCCTCTTAAATTCACTTTGTGATATGCCAGGAGCCCTTTCCATCCTAGGGAAACATCTGATCCAGACAGCCACTGACTGACTGCCAAGCCTGTAATAATAAATAAAAGCTAATTGCTGTAATAAAAATTTAAATTGTTTCCAGACACAGCATGGCAGCCCTTCAACAGCCCAGTTGTTGTGGAGAGGTGCATTTCCCTTATGGAGCAGAATACAGCACATTTTGCTGTTGTCTCTGGCTCTGAACTGTTTGGTGTGGAAAGCAGAGATGTAGTTTAACACCAAGAAAAAATAACAAATTGTTTTTTAGTGACGTTGCATCGGTTCATCTAATCTCAGTCACTGTGAAATAAATAAACTATTTCTTGTTGGTTTTATTTGATTGATGCTGCCCTGCTGAGCAGTGGGAATACCCCTGAGACCAGAGGAACAGCCTACGTGGTGTACGAGGACATCTTCGATGCCAAGAACGCCTGTGACCACCTGTCGGGGTTCAACGTGTGCAACAGATACCTCGTGGTGCTGTACTACAACGCCAACAGGGTACGGGCACCCGGGCTGGGGAGCTCACCTGAGCACAGCTGCCACAAAGAAACAGCCCCAGCATCACTTTGTAAAAGGCAGCTGCTTGGGTGTTTTTAAGAAATAGAATCCAAACTCTTAGAGGGAGTGAACGGGATGCATGGTTGGAGTTTTATATTTACTCGGTGGTTTGCGTGCAAAAAAAGTACCTTTGGACAAAGGGTGGGAGAAAGATGTTTGTGGGGAGTGTACTCTGGAGAAGAGGGTGCAGAGGCCCCACAGTTGCACAGCTGCAGCAGGAGGGGAGATCTTGTTTATGGCTAAAAGGTCTCCAGTTCTCTGTGTCCTCCCTGTCATTGATGACATCCAGGGCCCTGTGGCATTCTCCAAAGACAAGAATGAAACAGTGCTCTGTGTGTGTGATGGTGATGGAGTTCACAGTGGTGCTTGTTGCAGATACTGGCAAATAACTTGTCATGAGATGAGAGATTTTTTTTTGTTTTCTTACATATTTTATTTTCCTTATTACAGGCATTCCAAAAGATGGACACAAAGAAGAAAGAAGAACAGCTTAAGCTTCTCAAGGAAAAGTATGGAATTAACACAGACCCACCAAAATAAACTGATCCTTTTTGGAAAACTGTTTTCAAGCCCTGTCATCTTGGCCTAAACATAGGAGTTCTTAACAAAGTGTAATTTTTTTCTCTTATGAATTTGATAAACTGCAATATGAGTTTTTATATCTTCAGATTAGGAATAAATAAATGTAGAACACAGGGAGATCTACTTTAAGATTAAATCCCCCAAGGCCACATGGCTTCCCTGTGCTGAGGGTGACCTGGTAAAGGCTGCAATCTCCTGCTTCTAGCAAGAGCTTTCAAGAAGGGACTGAGCAGGTTCTGTGTTTGAATGAAGCAACCCCAAGCCCGTGTTTGTTACAAAGTTTCTTTCACAAACTGTAGAAGATGAACGGCTTTCAAAAGGATCCAGCTGATAAGAGGACACCAAGTATCTTGTTCCCAGTGATGGTACCAGCTCTGATCAGCTGCAGTGAAACAGCCCAGCTCTCACACTACCGAAAAAAAGTGTATGGGGGCTTTGTTTTGTGTCCCAGGTTTGGACTGAGGATTTGGTATGAATTGAAGAACACATGACCAAAATGAGACAGCAGATGAAGGTTTTAATTTTGATACCTGTAGTGTGATTGTTTTCTACTTGGCATGGTGGAACTGTAACACATTTTCTGTACATACATTTTTAGGTGTAGCATGTGGTGAAGGAAGACAAATTTACTTTTTTTTGGCTCTTTTTTCAGTACTCATGTCCTTTGTGTTAAAATGAGTGTGATCCAGGCTGTGCATAGCCAGTGTCTTTGGAAGTGAAAAAGAATAACCTCTGCCTGTGTTCTGAACCAGCTAAAGTTGTGTGAATGTGGGTAGTGTCCTGCCTTGGGAAGATTTATTGGCATGGATGTGATGTTCTACTCCCTGACCAGACAGCTTCCAGCCTGTGCAGAAGCAGGGCAGATAACAATATACTTTGCCTGGAATTTGTAACCTAGTTTTGTTTTTCAGTGCATTGTACTGAAATGTACTGAGAGAGAGGAATGCTTCCATTTTCTGAAATTACTTTTTTGTTGGAGTCTGTCACTTTGGGAACAATGCTGTGTCAATTTGGTGAAAAAATAAATGCATATTTTGCTCTTCTTCGTCAAGGCTGTGCTCCTGCCTGTAACCTGTGCTGTTAGATGGGAGTCATTCATCACCTGAGTGATGCAGGCAGGAGCTGCAGCACATCCATCTGTGGGTACAGGGATGTCCCTGTGTGTCACAGGGGGGTGCCCAGCTGTGGGAACAATGCCCATCTCACCTGGAGGAGATCCCTGGCACTGCCCTGTGCTGGGAGGGGCTCACAACAATACTCACATTTACTAGGTGGAACCAATGAGAAACTGAACACTCATGATTTTGCACTAAGTGGTCCTATTTTCTTTATTCCTCAAATAAACTATTACAAATTAATAAATCAGTAATGGCTTATGAAGAGAGAGCTCCAAGCCAGCTCTGGGGGAAAGCAGCCACCATGGCTGAGGTGTGATTTCAGCTTTGGGTGGGTGCCTGGAGTCCTATCCTGTGCCTGACCCTGGAGCACACTGGAACAGACCTGCCCTGCCTTCCCCAGCACACAGGCACGGGGGATGTGAGCCAGGGCCATGCTTAGTGCACAATTCCCCCAAATCTGCATCAGTCCCATGAAACTGATGCTGGTTTTGCAGCAAGAAGCTTTGCA